AGCTCCATCCTCTGCTGGACCTGTGCTGGGGGGCGGAGCGGGAAGCGCTGTGTCCTCACACTGCACTGCATCACCCTGTCCTGGGTGCCTCTGGAGAGAAGGACAGACAGTCAGAAACAGGAGAGTTTCTATTAAAGGTCATTCAAACCACTGAGTGGGAGATGCTGCAGTGGGCGGGTGTGCACATGTCAGGGCGGATATCTGCAGGGAAAGGTTTTAATAGCCCATGATTGGCAAGGAAGGCCGTGTCAGCAAGCTTGGTGACTTGTGTATCCCACACCCAGTCACATGTGAACTCTGTGTCATTTGTATATTCCATAAACCCTCCATGGGAGCCAAGCCCCGCTACCTGGGGCGCGCTGTGTCATCTCTCAAGATCCGAATCAAGTGTCACCTCCTCTGAAGCCTTCGCTGACCACCCTTCCTGCAAACATGAACATCAGGGAACGGAGAACTTCTGGACAGACTCTTGTAGTACCCCTAGCACTTCGGGGCATTTATCAATAATAAGCACTAAGCTCTATCCATCCCTTGCTGTGGGCTGGGCATCGTGCTGTCAGGCACTCCACACACAGTCCACTGGGTAGGGGCTAGGATGGCCTTTTTATAAATGAGTCATGTAGGCTTGGAGAGGCCAGATAATTGGCTTAAAGTTGCACAACAGTTAAGAGACAGGGATTTGAATATGATTTCAGTAGAACTCTGGTTCCTGCCCCCGCCCAGGCACTCTGTACTCAGCGGTGGGAACAGAAAGAGCCAAGGGCGGTTCACTGTGGACCCAGTGTCAGAAATGCCGGATGGCTTTAAGAACAGCTGTGGGGAGCAGGAGGGACCAGTGGCTTGTGTAGCACAGTGCCTCTGACAGGAGGGGCATTCGGCAATGTCTGAAGGGATTTGGGTTTGTCACAACCTGGGTATAGGGGTGGAATGCTCCTGGCACTTAGGAGTAGGGGCCAGGGATGCTCTTAAACATCCTGCAAGGCACGGGGCACTCCATGCCCCCAAACAAAGAACTACCCAGCCCTGGACACCAGCAGTGCCGAGACTGGGAAGGCTTCCAGCAGATGCCATTCAAGCAGGGCCTGAGATGGAGAGGAGGTTTCCAGTGGGCAGAGAGACCCTCCAGGTCAGGGGCTGGAACCAGCAAGGCTCAGGTGGGATCTGAGAAGCAGGTTGGCTGGTGTGGGTAGAAGGAGGGGGTCGGATTGTAAAGCCCACTCTCCCAGGTTAAGAAGGAGTTGGACTTTATTTAATTGGAGTCATTCAGGGGTCTTGTGTATGCGTTCTCAAGATACGTTTTTTGGTTTTATTTTTATTTTGGGGGGGGAGGTAATCAGGTATGTATGTATGTATGTATGTATGTATGTATGTATGTATGTATGTATTTATTTATTTATTTAAAATGGAGGTACTGGGGATTGAACCCAGGACCTTGTGCATGCTAAGCAAGCATTCTACCACTGAGCTGTACCCTCCTCCTGGTACATTTTTATTTTTTCAGTTGAGCCACACTAAATTCAGACAGCACAAATCTTAACCCCTTTCCCATCTCTCAACCCCAGCTTTCCAGTTCTCCCCGGAAGTGATCATGCCTAATCTGTTTCTTGGGTGTCCTTTCTGAGCTGATCTGTGCTATAGTGTGTGTGTGTGTGTGTGTGTGTGTGTGTGTGTGTGTGTGTGTGTGTGTGTGTGTGT